TTTTATCTGTATTTATTTTTTTCACTCCAATTACTTACTTGCTGCTGTGACGAGTGAATTTCCCCGTTGTGGGATGAATAAAGTATAATCTAATCTAATCTAATCTAATCTAAGAACCGCCCATTAATTTCAATAGAAAGTGCTCATAAGCACATCAGCCAAAAAAGTTTTCCAGATATATTCCGCGTTGTGCGGCCCACTGCACATGCTCATTACTGCTCCTGGCCTTGCTCGGCTCATAGATTCTACATTGGGACGACATCAACACACTTAACGGGAGCGGGTGTTACTCAGGACTGATATTGTAGGTGCCAAACTTTTACACACACCACAATGATGTTTTTGTGTTTGTTTAATTTATAATATAAGGCGTAAACATTCATTCATAAAACTATGCATGAATGTTTGCTGAAAATGTTTTATGTTCCTCCTATCCTTGGTCTCTACTTGTCCAGTCTGATCCGAGATCTCAAGGAGCGTGATGGTGAATTTCCAGATGTGAGCTCAGGGATTTATGTTTATGAAGTAATACCTGGAACAGCTGCATCCAGGTAGGAGTTCCAAAATTTTATGTACTGTGTTTGTTATGGATACCAGCTTATGATTGGCTTTTCTTATAAATTAGATCCACTTCTCATGTGAGGGATGTAAAATTGACTGACATTGTACTGGCTGTCTATGGGAGTCTCTTCACCATAACTGATTGTAGGTACCTTTAAAGCTGCATTCAATGACTGTGTAATGTGAAAGGTATTGTTTACGTGCAGAGAATTATCGCCCGACTCTGCAGTTCCCCTCAGTTCTTTTGAGCATTTTTGTGTTTTTCAGCTCCTTTTTTTGGTTTTAGGACCGTTCTGGTTCGCTCTCACTGCTCTCACCTACCTCATCTCCAGCAGCAGCAGGCAGCCAAAAGAAACCTCTGATAAACCTCCTGCCCATGCAACAAACAGCTAACAGACAAGGTTAGCGACTAGCTGATGAACATCAACAGTCAGGTATTTTTTGGCCACTATAATCACCAGCTAGTACCTAACTTAGTCTGTTTGGTGCTGGGCAGGTACTATACAGTGGGTTTATAAGAGGTTTTTATCTGAAAACAGCCATGCGCTTCAACTTTAAATTATATAAGTAAGAGTGAAATTTTTGGGCTGTAAAACCAAACTGAATGACTTTAAAGACGCTAAAATGCTTTGTAGAAATGGTGCCGTGCCATTGTTCCAATGGCCCATTATTCCAAAACCCAGTCAGAAAAATCTCCATTTGTACAACAAATGGACAGCTCTGAAGGCCTGTTGTTCCGAAAATACACACTCTGGTAACTGGGACATTTTTTGGACTATTGAGGTTTTGGAATAATGGGCAGTCCCCATTGAAATTAGGAGAAGTACAACAGCTTTCACATTACACATTAATTTGATCCACTAGTGCAGCTTTAATTTTGTCAGTTTTTACTCTGAATTTTAGTAGTCTATGTCACTTTCCCATCCTGGCCGGAATATTTGGGAATCAATGAGTTTTCATATTTATTTTTTCTGTGGTTTCAGTCCAAAACATATCATCACAGGAGTCCACCCCTAATTGACACATACACATGTCAATATTATTCCACTATGTCAACCTAAAATGTTAGCTCTTGCATAAAAGATGTTGCACTATTAAAAGATTAAATATGTCTTTTTCCCATTGGTGTAAGTTTCAAAGTAAGAGAACCACACCAGTGAGTTTTTTTTTATTAGAAAGTGTTACCTGGAGCTAATCAGTATGATTCACAGTAAGAGCTTGTTTAGACACTAGGTTTTACAAAATGCAACAGCAGCACTGTGAACTGGCATTTGGAGGCCTCTGGATATTTTCTGAGCCGTGGAATAAGAGTATCCCTGCGGTTCTCAAGGCTGTAGATTGAACTGTGGTCTGCTTGCTCATTATACTTGTGCTTCCCACAGGCAAAGCTCTGACATCTTTCTCTTAGTGAAGACAGCATCTCTCTCTCTCTGACTCTTTAGACTTGCTATATTCTTAATAGTCCAACACCGCCTCCTGTGACATTGAAGCCTGAGGCTTTGAACAGCATACAGCAGTAGTCTAATATACAGCCAGTACTAGCAAAGTTTGTCAGTTTACCACAACAATGCTGAATTATCTGCTTTACTCCTCCTTGAAGCCCCCACTATTGTCTGGTGGAATCAGAATATAATCTTTTATCTGTCCCAGATAATCAGTCTCCATAAGATCAAGAGAGAGCAAATGGCTAAAATGTAAATGTCAGTGCAGTGCAATACAAAGCCATGACCCCAGCGCTCTGTTTTACTAGCGTTTACTTTGCCTGTCGAGGGCGACGGAACCTGACACAAGAAAATAAATGATGTTTTCCTGAGGGTGTGAGATCGGCCCAGCTGGGTTGGATCTGTTTTAGTAAGGCTTGATGTGTCAGTGATTTATGGCGCTGTTTTCTCCACAGCGCCGGCCTGATCGATCATGACGTCATCATCAGCATCAACGGGCGGCCCGTCCACACCACGCAGGAAGTGGGTGAAGCCATTCAAAGAGGCGCAGCGCTTTCAGTGGTGGTGAGACGGAAGGATATGGATGTATCACTGACTATCATTCCTGAAGAGACGGACTGATTCCATGGAGTGTAAAAGTCAGCCATTAAAGAAGAAATGTACTTACACTGTAGCAATGGTGATGTGCCCTGCATTACCTGGTCTATTTTGTGGTCAGGAGGGTAAAATACAGTACAGACTGGCATCGAGATGTTTTCATCACCACATGTAGTAAGTTGAGTGAGTTTTTTTCCAGAGCCTCGTTCTTACACAACTGTCAGAGAGGAAGACATTATCCAAAGTAGACCAAGACACAGTTGTGAACAAACTTCAGTGTTCACAAATTCCAGTAACAAGCCCATACACCCTGTTTTCTGTTTTTGTGGAAGCAAATTAAGGAAATTAATGACTGAAGAAAAATTTGACCAAACAGGTGTTTACACCAAAGAAATTAACTGCAACATCTGTCACAAAATAACTTGTGCAATGCAATGAACATCACAAACTGGTGGTTAAAGTGTTGGTTAACTCAAATCAATGCAGGTAGCTATGGTTTTATTTTGCTCAGGTTTTTTGCCCCAATACAATGGTGCTAGGTGGAGTTCAATTTGTGGTGCATTGAAACGTGACATTTCTGCACCAGCTTGAGACAATGTATGGATTACTCTGGATAGGCCTCACTATCAAAAAGTTGCTGATAGCGTGTTCTGTGAATTATCCAGAATAACAGGGACATTGGGCCTCATGCAAGAACATTTTCATATTTTTATCCTTTTTCCTGCGAGTCGAGTGGTCCAAGTCAGATTAGACAAAGTTTCTTAACTTGTAAGTAACTTGTAAGTTGCTCATTTCAACCTAATCAATACCCACTTTCCATGAAAGGGTGTACATTCATGAGATAGGATCATTTGCATAATAAACGCCACTAGAGTTCCCATAGGTTGCCAGTTATGCTTGGTTTGTGGGGAGGTTTCATTACAAAAATCTAAATTCATTTGACCTGAAAATACTATATTATTATAATATAGAGAAAAAATCAAGTACAAGAAAACTGGTGAATGCCCCAAATGGTTCTTGCAATGAGGTCCATTGTATCTGGAAAGAGATGGTGGTGTTTTTTTAGATGTTTTTTGGGGCTTTTTATGCCTTTATTTGATAGGACAGGTGAAGATAGACAGGAAAGGGGAGAGACAGGTGGGACAGTTTGAAATCACCTGGGCCGCTGCGGCAAGGACAACCTGGTGAGCTACCGTGCGCCCTGGTGTTGTATATAAAATGAATTTGTCAATGTTGTGATAAGCAAAGAATTCCAATCACCTTTAATACATCTCATGGTAATGTATTGCTAAGAAAAAAACATGATTTCTAATTTGGAGGAAACAAACCCACAGAAGTTAGCCATGTGTCTTGTCTTTACATGCATTTCATTGAAGATTGAAAGTCTAGTGCTGAGATTTGTGTCATTGTGTCGAAATGAGTGGTGAATTTAATATGCAACCTGCAAGTCACTGAAGGCGCACTGTGAAAGGCAGCCTCAGGCATGTTACTGTCTGTAACTGCAGGCTACATGCTACTTGGTTGTGATCAAGTTTCAATCAAACATTCCACACACTAGATGATACTAAGGGTGATTTTATAGACCTGTAGTTGCACTCATGTCACAAACCTTTAAAATAAACTGAATTTGTTTTCCAAATAAGGCCAGTGAATATCAAAATATATGAAACTCATTCCAGCAACATATAACAGTATCAGTTGACTGAATGCTGTACTGAATGTTATGTGCCATGACATCAGTATTGTTTTTCAGCGTCGACCTTTTCAGGTAATTGTACAGGTAATACACTGCAGCTCAGTGATACTGTGGTTCAGCCAAAAGGATCTTAAGGGAACAACTTCTATCACTCTGTATATAGACTATTCTTATCAAATGGTGGTATATGTAACATTGTGGACATGTGGCCAGTGTAAACATATTGATCCTCAGTGTGTATGGTGGTATGTGTAGCTTGTGTGCTCTTTGTGCTGTAGCTGTAGCTACATTTTCTATATTGGTGAACATCAACATGTACATGAATGTAACTGGATATAATTACAGATAGGTTAAACATTAAGATAAGGATAAAGTGTGTTAGTAGTGATTGTCATTATGATCAACATAGTTTTACACGCTCATACTAACTGATGTCTTAGTGTTCAACAAATGAATCACAATAGTTTACTATCAGATCCTATGTCATCACCATGTCGCTGATTATATATTTATATCTTTGTTACTGTCAACGAATCCCATGAATAGACCAGAACCAACTATGTGTTCTCCGTGTATACTCTCTCTTACAACCGGGTGCAACTGTGAAGAGCCTCCAGAGGTGAACATCTGAGGATGTGTGCTGCAATCTCCATATTTAAACAATATTGAATCCTCTCTATGATGGTGGACCTTTCACTCCACCTTTCAGTGGCCATTCAGAACACGTATAGGCTCTTTTGATCATTTCTGTCATGGTTGGACAATCCATCTTAGTTCTGATTGAACATTAACTGAACCTTAGTCGATCTCTGAAGGCTTTGTTTGAATGAAAGACACAAATCTTTACAAGCAGCTCATAATTATATAGTTGTTGTTTTTTTAACAAAGCTCAGTAATTTCCTGAAACAGCTGGTCACTGCTGTTTTTAAGCAAATGTTACTCAAACAAGGGGAAATTGTGCATTGGTTGGAGACTATTTTCAGGTGCAAATTAATCCTCAAACTACAGAGTGTGTGTTCATGGAAATAAAGGAACATGTCACTCAGTGGAACAGTGTGGCTCATTGATGTGTTTTTAACAACAATAGTCTAATCAGAGAGGAACCTGATAATTTCACAGATTATCTGTCTCGTGTACTACTGTCAGCACACAGTGAAAGTTTACTAGTCTACTGCAAGTTTTAATTGTGTTTTTGGGAAAGAATTTGTATTATGCTGGAACATGGAAAAATTTTCCTTCCTGTCCTTCAGTTATAAAACAAGTCTTAAAGTGTCCACTGTGTGGAATTTAGAAGCATTTAGTGGTGTAGTTGCAGATTGCAACTCCCTTCTTTCAAGCGTGAAGGAGACACAGAAACACGGCAGTTCAACGCGGTGTACCTGATGGAAGGCCACCTGCAGTGTATGCAGATAAAAACAGCTCATTCTA